CCCCGCCCCGCGCCTGCTCTCCCGGAAGCCCCGGCGGAGCTTGTGCATGGCGCTCGAGTGCGGCCCGTCGCAGGCTGTCTCCACGGCGGCCGCGCTCTTCACCTGGGTACGTGTCTCCGCCCCGGGCTTGGGCAGCGGCTAAGGGGCGCAGAGACCCGGGAGCGCCCGGCATCTGCGTGGGTGGCCGGGGAGCCGGGAGGCGGAGGCCTAAGCCGCGGTCCCCGGTTGGAGTACCCTGGGCCTGCGGGCAGGAAGGAGGGTGCGGAGAGAGGGTCTCCCGGTGGGGCCCGAGGGGCAGCTGGGAGCTGTGGGATGAGGATCGGAGGCACCGGGGTACTTCGGGGGGACTCTACCTCCAAGGCAGAGCGTCCCTTCCGGGAAAGCCCTGGGCCGCCAGAGCGCCTGGGAAGAGAAGACAGCGTGGAGGCTGGGTAGAGAAAAGATAGCTCGGCCTCAGAGCACGTGGGGCCACCTGTGTCATCGAGCCTTCCTTTTGCCTGGAGGGTGGAAGGCTCCGTTCCAGCGCCATCACCCTGGGGAGCGTCCCTTGGATGTGAGGCCCGTGGAGTGTGGCTGCGTGCGGCGCAGACCCTGCGTATGTGCTGTTACTAGGCTGTGCCTGGATCTTTTCTGGGGGCGTGAGAGTCTGGACTCGTTAGGTTTGATCCTGAGCTGTGAGAGAACCGAGGTCATCCCTAACGCGTGACTGGAGAGGAAGCTCCTTTGTGGGGGGCATGGATGGCAGCAAGCGCATGCGAGGTGTTGCAGTTCTTGGTATTAAATCGCACAATTGTAAAGGAATGAATGCTTTGTTAAAGGCAGTCTCCTTGGCTACAGTGGAGGTTTTCTGAGAGCGGTGAGTACCGAAACAGTGGTGTCCACACTGTCTCTCTTTTTGTGCCTGTCATCTTGTACACCTCAGGGAAATATTTGTTGACTGAAGAATGAATGAATGAGTACGTATGTGCACAGCCATGTGTTAACGTTTGGGAAATAGATGTAAAGGGGTTCCAGTGCCTGTGTGGAGTCCATAACACCTATGTTTCTGCCAATATTAGTGTTCATCCGCATACCTTTCACTTGTTGAGTGTAAGGCTGTCAGAAAGGAGAGCATGGCGTGGCGTGGCCTGGCTGGCTCAGCGCCTGGAGGTAGCGCTTGAGCTGGGGGCGGGGTTAGTAACAGAATGTGTTGCCATTTTCCAGCGGGCAGACTGCTGCCTTTTTGGACAGAGGAGAAACATCTGACAGAAAAAGCCTTTCAGGTGCGGCCTTGAACGGACAGAGACAGACACAGGGCTGGCCCTCTCTTGACTAGTATGCTTGGAGCCTGCTGGGGTTTTTCCTGCTGCATAATCAGGGTGCACGTATTAGTTGACTTCTGCTGCCATGACAAAGCACCATGGGCTGGGTTTTTACATTTTTATTTTATGTACATTGGTGTTTTGACTCCATGTATGTCTGTGTGAGGGTGTCAGATTTCCTGGAACTGGAGTTACAGACAGTTGTGAGTTGTCATGTGGGTGCTGGGAGTTGAACCCTGGTCCTTTGGAAGAACAGCCAGTGCTCCTAACCCTGAGCCATCTCTCCAGCCTCAGGCTGGGTTCTTAAACAACAGACATGTATTTTCTCCCAGTGCTGGAGGCTGCAAGTCCAAGATGAAGAAGTGGACACTTTTGGTTTCTCTGAGGCCTCAGGTGGCTGTGTCTTTGTATATTGGTGTCCTTGGTATTTTAGGAAGAGACTAGACAGACTGGGTTAGGTCCCACCCTATGGTCTCATCATTTAACCTTAATTACCTCTTTAAAGGTTGTGTCTTCAAATAGTTGTTTTGTGATATCTCAGAGGTTAGGGCTTCAACATAGACATTTTAGAAGAACACAGTTCATCCTCTCACAGGGGGTATAAGTGCGTGTGTGTCTCTTTGTTGAGTTGGGAGCAGGATTAGTAACTGAATGTGTTGTTGTGTGTCATTTTCCAGCTGGGAGACTTTTTTGGACAGAGGAAAAAAATATCTGACAGAAAAGGCCTTTCAGATGTGGCCTTGAATGGACAGAGACAGAAACAGTGCTGAACGTCACTTGACTAGTATTCTGGGAGGTCTGCTGGGGTAGTGTGTGTGTGTGTTTGCTGTGTCTGGGTCCTTTGTAAAGAAGGAAGGTATACACAGTTGTCATGGGGTATTAAAATTTCCTTTACTTGGCATTGTCTTGGGAAAGAGCCTCTTGCTGCATTAAAGAAATTGGTATTGAAATTGGTCCTTAGCATGAACCTGGGATTGCTCTGGTCTGGCTTCTTCCTCAGGCATTCAACAGCCTGCACACATGGTCCGAGGCGGCCAGATTGGATGGAAACCGCAGAGTATCCTCTCGGCTTCACTCTGTCCAACAGTATTGCATTTGACCTTTGCAGGGTGGAGAGACTTGTGCCCGACACCCATACTTGGCCAGCGCAGTTTCAGGTTTAGGAGAATAGCTGTGAGGAAGACGTAGCCCTGCCTTCATGGTGGTGGCTTCCTAGGAGAGCAGGTAGCCTGGTCCAGTAAGCAGCGCACACTGGAGGGCCATGGACTGAGAAGACGAGAGGGAGTAAAGTGGTGGGGGCGGGAAATGGGCTGGAGCCATGCTTCCCCGCCTTCCCAACACTGCGACCCTTTAGTACACTCCTCATGTGCTGACCCCACCCATAAAGTTATTTTGGTGCTGCTTCCTAACTAATTTTGCTGTGGTTACAGATTGTAATGTAAATATTTTTGGAGATAGAGGTTTGCAAAAGGGGCCGCAAACCACATTTTGAAAACCAGTGGTTTGGAGTCATGTGGCTTAACCTCTGGGCTGGTTCCACATATCCTTACTTTCTTATGAAGAGGTAGGAGCTGATGAAAGAAGCGACTTCTAAGTCACTCACTCAGTCGTGTGACTGTGGATTGTTACTTGGGTCTCCCCAGGCCTCAGTTTCCTCATCTGTGAAATGAATCCAGTGCTCCTTAGCTGTGAGGATTAAAGGCCTGTCATGCAGGGGACTTAGTTGGAGCTCCATTGCTCCTGAGGCCTTCGTGACCTGTGCCCCTCCTAAAGCTCATTTTCCATCTTGGAGCCGTGCTGCTCCAGGTGGCAGAAGATACCCAGCAGGTGGGAGGATTTAGCTAAGTGTGTGTTTTGTACTCATGCCTTGGTTGTTCTAAATCACATGTTCTCATTCATGTGCCCTCAAAAACAGCATTTAAATGGCTCCACCACTCACCTTTAAAAGAAACATCTTGGGAATAGAATCTTGAAGAGATAAGAATTTCTGAAGTGGTCTGCTCTGGTCTGGACTCTGTGGAACTTAACTGTTTTACAGTGCGAAGTTTACCACGTGGCGACAACCTGTGGGCACTCGGGACAGGCCATCGGGTGGAACACCAGCTGGAGCTCTGCACGGTCTTCTCGAGGCTGGTGATCAGCTCCTTCCCTAGTCACAAGCCGAGGTAGCTGGCGCCCACTCCCCTGCTTACCCTTACGGGGCACATCCGCGCACTGCCTGCCAGCAGCGAGATGGGGCGGACATCAAAGGATAAACGAGACGTCTACTACCGCCTGGCCAAGGAGAACGGCTGGCGGGCCCGGAGTGCCTTCAAGCTCCTTCAGCTGGACGAGGAGTTCCAGCTCTTCCGAGGTGTGAAGCGAGCTGTTGACCTGTGTGCAGCCCCCGGCAGCTGGAGCCAGGTGCTGAGCCAGAAGATTGGGGGCCAGGGTTCTGGTCAGGTGGTGGCTGTGGACTTGCAGGCCATGGCTCCACTCCCAGGAGTGACCCAGATCCAGGGGGACATCACTCAGCTTTCTACCGCCAAGGAGATCATTCGGCACTTCGAGGGCTGCCCTGCTGATCTGGTAGTGTGTGACGGCGCTCCTGACGTCACTGGCCTCCACGATGTCGATGAGTACATGCAGGCCCAGCTTCTGCTGGCTGCTCTCAACATTGCTACGCATGTCCTGAAGCTGGGGGGCTGCTTTGTAGCCAAGATTTTTCGAGGCCGCGACGTGACCCTGCTTTACAGCCAGCTTCGCATCTTCTTCTCCAGTGTGCTCTGTGCCAAGCCCAAGAGCAGCCGCAACTCCAGCATCGAGGCCTTTGCTGTCTGTCAGGGCTATGACCCTCCTGAGGGCTTCCTCCCAGACCTGACCAGACCCCTGCTGGACCACGCCTACAACTCAGATTTCAACCAGCTGGATGGTCCCAGCCGCGTTATTGTGCCCTTTGTGACCTGTGGCGACCTCAGCGCCTACGATTCGGACCGCAGTTACCCTCTGGATCTAGAAGATGGTTCTGAGTACAAGTATACTCCGCCCACACAGCCCCCCATCGCACCCCCATACCAGGAGGCCTGCAGGTTGAAGAAGCATGGACAGCTGGCCAAGGAGCTTCTCCCCCAGGAATGCTGCATCAGCAGAGTAGACCAGTTGCCCCAGCCTCTGGCCATCTCTCAGTGCCATACCCCGCTGGCCCCTGAGGTAGAAGACAATGAAAGGAATTGCTCGCCCTAACAGGTGAAGGGTTTTCAGTAACAGCCACACTAGAACAGCTTAGAAGCCGCTGCCCTCCTGGAAAACCAGAAGCTGGCGTTCATTTGCAGCTATCATCTATGGAGCCTGAGAAGACAAGCCTGGAGTGGAGGTCTGCAACAACTCAAAGTGAGGAAGTGTGGAGCTGCAGGAGGGTGCCTCTTCCCTGAACCTCTGCTGGTGCACCCGAAAGTCCAGGAGTCCCCCAAAGCAGGGGTTTTACCATGGGTTAAACAGCAGGGCTCCACCAACACCAGCTTGATGGAGGAAAGTGGTGCATCTTCACAGTAACTCAAGCTTTGCTTCATTCCCAGCTGCAAATACTGACAATAAATCAAAATAGTAAAAGCCCTCCCACCAAAAAAAGAATTTTTGAATTATTAAGAAGATTCTTCTTGTGGATTCACTATTCCTCCTGTGTAACTGAACTGACAAACTGAAACCCTCGAACATACTGGGCGTTAGGCGCCTTACACTGTCTGTCCTCTATTGTGTTTGTACCTTTGATGGCAGAGATGTCACTATTTCATTAAATGGATATTGCCCTAGTCTTTACAGCATCTTTGTGATACATACTTGTATATATGCTGAATTCTTTTCTGGGTCTGCTTAGGTAACCTAGCTGTAAGGGTTTCAGATTAGAGACCTTTTCTTTCCAGTGCTGGATTGTACATGCTAGGCAAGCACTTCATCACTTTGCTGCACCCATACACATCTACCGGGTATGGGCCTGAGAGTGTGTATCTACAAGGGAGCTCACTCTTGGAGTTGTCAAACACTGTATTTGAAAAGGTCCTTTAGAGACCGCTGTCTAGGTCTTGGCCCTGGATAGATGAAATGATGCTTCCTATTAGGGACCCAGCATCCTTAGCTAGCTGAGTAAACACAGGAAGTCATTGCCTGCTTCTTAGTGAAGATGGGGAGGGGAGAAGAACTAATTCTGCAGTGTTTATGGCTAGCTTCCCCCCACCCCCAGCTCCACCCCTAATTTTTTCTCTTCCCAGCTTTCCTATGTAATTAGCTTTTATTAGAGGGGATCCTTGGGCTGACTCCCAAAGGCAGTTTAGTCTTGGTTGGTTTTTATTGTCCATGTGACACAGCATAGACTCGTCTGGAAAGAGAAATGTCAAGTGAAGGCCTCAGTCAGATTGTTTCCTGAGCATGCCTGTGAGCATTATCTTGATTGGAGATTGCTGTGGAGGGTCCAGTCCAATGCGGTGGCTTGCGGGTCTGGGGTGTATAAGGAAGTTAGCAGAGAGAACCAGAGAGTGAGTCGCTGGTAGTGTTCTTCATGCTTCTGCTTGAGTTCCTACCCTGACTTCTCTCAGTGATGGACTATGACCTGGAAGTGTAAGCTGAAATAAACCCTTTCCTTCCCTAAATCAATTTTGGCCCCTTTTCCTCACAGCAACACAAAAGAAACCAGAGCAGGGTTGTATACCAGACACAAAAGCAACCAGAGCAGGGTTGTATACCAGACACAAAAGCAACCAGAGCAGGGTTGTATACCAGACACAAAAGCAATGAGAGCAGGGTTGTATACCAGACACAAAAGCAACGAGAGCAGGGTTGTATGCCCGAAGGGAAAGGTGAGACACGTGCTTGTGGATGCCAAGGAGTCCTCTGAAGTAGAAATCATGGTGCTCACAGATGGGGCTGGTTTCTCAACACAGATTGTGCAAGATAGCCTCCTAAGAATGGGTGTTTGAAATGTCAGGCTCTGAGAACTTATTGGGGAGGGGACTGATGGATGCTGACAGTTGGGCTTTTCATCCATGTTGTATTTTATCTCTAGGGTGCAAATAGCTACGGGCAACTTGGCCTTGGGCATAAGGAAGATGTATTTATGCCCCAGCGACTGAGTGACTTCTGTAGACCTGGGTGTATCAGGAGTGTCACAGGAGGAGGGGGCCATTCCGCAGCTGTCACAGGTACTTCTCTTCACACATGGACAGCCACTCACTTTTGTATTGAGAATTTTCCCCTTGGATGCTACCTTGCCATCCTTTAGTCTTTTGTATTTCTCAGCAGTATTTGTTTTTTGTGAGGCACCCAAATTACCATTAAGGGAATTGTAGCTCCTCAGAGTTTGAACTTCTGAGTTCTTTGAAGGTTGTTCTCCTTACCCCATTGTACAAATAAGGCTCAGAGAGGAAGGCTTAAGGGTACAAGACAAGTTGGTGGATGTGTTACAACCTGTTTGAGTTTTTAATTTGAAGCCTCTGCAACTAGATGAAATACCTCCTGAGATCAAGAACCTTCCTTTGTCCTTAATTTTCTGTCCTAGTGCCCAGAGGGTGCCTGGGTGCCCCACATGCTTCAGCTTAGCAAAGGACGGTTAGGGATGGGAGCCATGCGGCAAACTCCCTGGACTCGGGTGCCCTTCTGTGGTTCGTTAGCGCCACGGGCTTTGGCAGATAATCCCCCTTACCACAGCGCTCTACTTTTACTTTTGCTGCAGTGATAAAATACCTAGCCAAAAAGCTTCTGAAGGGAGAAGGAGTCCACTTGACTTACTCTTCTAGGTAGCATTGCATTATTACAGGGAGTCAAGGCATGAACTTAAGGTCTCATCTCCACAGTCAGGAGCGAGAGAAGGCAAAGTGCCCTTGCCCGCTTGCTGCTTGCGCTCAGCCAGCCGCCTTCAATGACACAGTGAAGGGCCCATGAAACGGTGCTGCCCCCCTCAGATTGGGTGTCCCCATCCCAATAATCAAGACAGTCCGCAGACATGTTCATTAACCTGATCTAGATGATTTCTCATCAGGACTCTCCCTCAGGCTGTGTCAAGGTTGATAGTAAGAGCTAACCAGCATGCTCAGTTTTCTCTTCACCTGTCCCATGGGCTTAAGAACAGCAGTTAAACTCAGGGTACTTTCAGGACTGTATTAGGGCTTTTACGGGTCTTTGTTCATGTCTTCATGAAGCCCTTTTTCCATTTGTAAAGATATGATAAAAATTATACAGCTGTACTGATACAATGTAACTATGTCCAAGGATGGAGTTTATATTATATATGAATTATTGTCATATTAAAATCACCTTAAAACAATCTAAAATTAAGCTGTTCCTATGGGCCCTTCAAAATATGGGTCCTAGGCATGCGTGGAAAGGGCTTGCATGTTCACCTCTTGACACAGCTTTGGTACATTCTAAGTATTGAGTTGATGTTGGCTTTCTTTTTTATTTTTTTAAAAAAGATTTATTTTTATTTTTTTATGCAGCACTCTGCCTGCATGTATGCTTGCACACCAGAAGAGACCAGATCTCACTATAGATGGTTATGAGCCATTGTGTGGTTGCTGGGAATTGAACTCAGGACCTTTGGATAAACAGCCAATGTTCTTAACCTCTGAGCCATCTCTCCAGCCCTGTTGGCTTTCTTGTGATAGTAGGTGCTCCATTTTACTGATCAGTTGGCACCGGTTACAGAGCAGAGAGTTTCCGTTTATACATTAGATGTAAGGGCCTGGTGCCTTTGATTAGTATACATCAGTTGATAACATTAACATGGGCAAGAAGCCCTTTGTCTGTAGTGCCAACTAATTCACGTGGCTCTTTCTTGCTTTGGCAGTTGTGATTCTCCTGTTCATGCTGACAGGGAGCTTTGTGTTTTGCAGATGGAGGAGGTCTTTTTGTTTGTGGCCTGAATAAAGATGGGCAGCTGGGGCTTGGTCACACAGAGGAAGTGCTGTATTTTACCATCTGCAAGCCTCTTGTTGCTTGTCCCATCCGACAGGTGGCCTGTGGCTGGGATTTCACCATCATGCTCACAGGTAAATCCACTTCTGGGTAAATATCGCCAAGGCTTTGGATGAAAGCAGTGCAGTGGGGACCCTGACTACTAAAGAAAAAACAATCCCCTCACCCTGAAACCACAAGTGTTCTCTATGGTTGTGTCTGGAAATTGCAGGGTACCTGTTAACAAGGAGAATTTTAACTATGAAAGAGACCAGGCTAGAATAAGTTTGTCAGATATTGGAGGATGGACTAGATTTTTGAGGTGGCCATTTCTAGTCCCAAAAGTTCATGAAAAGCTGTGTGCCTCGCCTAACTGGCCAGGAGTGCTAGTAAGACTTATTATGGGTCATGTGCTAGATATTGTGGAGTCTATTGCTGTGATGAAACACCATGACCAAAAGCAACTTGGGGAGGAAAGGATTTATTTGGCTTTAGCTTCCACATTGCTGTTCATCACCACTGAAGGAGGTCAGGACAGGAACCCAAGCAGGGTAGGTTTCTGGAGGCCGGAGCTGATGCAGAGGCCATGGAGGGTTGTTGCTTACTGTTTTGCTTAGTCTACTTTCTTACAGAAACCAGGACCACCAGCCAGAGACGGCATCACCCACAATGGATTGAGCCCTCCCCCATTAATCATTGATTAAGAAAATGTCTTACAGCTGGATCTTATGTTGGCATTTTTTCAGCTGAGGTTCCCTCCTCTCCAATGACTTGTGTCAAGTTGATATAACACCAGCCAGCCCTCATCTGTTGTGAAGTGACATGGCTGCAGGAGAGATGCCCTCCCCAACCCTCACCCTCCCGGCTCCCAACCCCATTTTTACGTTTTCTTTTCTTTTGGGTGGTGGGGAGGTTGCAGGGGTGGAGTGCAGATACAAAGGGATGAGGAGATGAGATGAGTGGGGTTGGGGTGCATGACGTGTTGGTTCACAAATAATCAGCAACAGCAACAAGTCAGCCAGCAGTGGGTGATGATGAGGGAGATGGATTTCACAGTAATGGGGGCAGCCCTTTCCCCTGAGGGCCTTCCGTGGTCACGTTGCTGAGGATCAAACCCCGTGCCTCACGTGGGCTAGGCGTGGGCTCTACCGCTGAGTTATTTCTCAGTCTCCCCTTAAAAAAACACGGTGTCTGTGAAGACAGGTGGTATGATGTGGCTGAGTAATTCTCTTAGAAGTAGCTAATTTTTCTGTCAACTTTGTCCTTTCTGGCTGGCCAGTTTGGGTTTAAAGGACCATCTGTAGCTTCTGCCTCTTAAGTCCCAAGCTTTATTGTATATAGCTTCTCCCCATGTCTGCTGCCTTCATCATATTTGCCACACTATGCAATGTCTGGTGGCTCCTGCTCCAGAACAGCCCCCATCATCTCTCTCGTGAGCTGTTGTCCCATATTTGAGTTCTCAGCTGTCACCGTTTCTCTTTTGCAGAGGAGTTCCATATGTGTCCAGTTTGACAGTAATTATCAGACCCCAGATGGGCTGGGGAGGCAGCTTGTAGAGCATGCGCAAGCCCTGGTTAGCTTAGCTCCGAAGAAAGAAATCTTCTAGATGAAGAATTTCATGGCTAGCTATCACTTGGGAAGTTCCTATTATCGCCTCCTATAAAGGTCATAGGAGGCAGAAGGAAACACTGTTTCCCATCACATTGCAACCAGTTGTGACAAAGGTATCAGTTGGAAGTCAGACTGTCAGGTATTATGGATAAAGGCTAACTTGGAGGACTGGGTTTATTATGAAGCTAAGTGGCTCTAACTTTCCTCTGGTCCACATTTGCCCTCCAGACCCTGGACCTGTCTCACAGGGGAACTCTTACTGTGCCAGGCCATACATGTCCTGTCCTTCTCCCCGGACTCTTGAGGTGATTGTGTGGGGAAGGGCAGGGAGGAGAAAGACCCAGAACATCACAGTGCACAGGATTTGTCGTGGGAAACATAGGAAGTGGGGAGTAAGTATTCCCTCCAGTTCCCTCTCTCCAGTTCCTGGCCCCGGCTGAGTGCTCCTCATGGTGGTCTCTATGACGAACACAGTGTGGAGGATAGTCCTAAAATGTTCAGTCTGGAGAGATAAAAGGCTTTGGGGCATGGGACCTTTGCTGCCTCCTCTCATCCCTGTTTCCCCGTTAGTCACAGAGGTCTTACTTCTTCATTTGTAATCTGAGTGCTTGTATTTTGCAGAAAAAGGTCAAGTTCTGTCATGTGGATCCAATGCCTTTGGCCAGTTAGGTGTCCCACACGGCCCTCGCAAGTGTGTGGTTCCCCAGGCCATTGAGGTGAGGACATCCCAGTTTTAGCTTATTGTGTCCTGCTGTTTCTAGGCTGTTCTGTTTATCTTTACCCATAATGACAGGCTAGGCAGGTCCTTGAAGAACGTGGAAATACAGAACTTGAGTTGAAAATAAGTTTTGTTAAAAATCAGTTGGAGGGCATGGATGCTGGGCATGGTGCTCTTCATGCACATTATAAAATGCACCTCTTGTGTGCACTGTTAGTCATGGGAACTGTGTTACAGACAAGTCCAAACAGATATCATTTGCCTCGGGGTCTGGGGAGATTGCTTATCGATAAAGCACTTGCCCTGCAGCCATGAAGGCTTGGTTTGGATCTCCAGAATCCATTTAAAGCTGGGCACATTAACACACATCCATAGTCCTGGTGCTCTGGTGAGAAGCTGAGAAGCTGAGGCAGGAGCCTGCCTAGATGCTCCCAGGCCAGCTAGCCTGGCATACGAAGTGGCAACCAACCAGAGAGAGATCTTGTCTGAGACAGAGTGGAAGGGTTGGATCAGTGCTTGACGGTACCCTCTGACCTCACATGCATGTGAAGGTTCATGCCCATGTTTATAGACATAAACATTTACACACATCCACCAAACACGCCCACCCACCACCACACACACACACACACACACACACACACACACACACACACACACA